TTTGGTGATGAACAATGCCTTTTCCAGCACAATGGAGCACCTTGCCATAAAGAAAAAATAATAACTAAATGGTTCGGGGAACAAAGTATAAAGATTTTGGGTCCATGGCCAGGAGACTCCCCAGATCTTAATCCCATTGAGAACTTGTGGTCAAGCAAAAATCCACAAATTATGACAAACTCCAAGTATTGAATATGCAAGAAAAGGATGCCATCAGTCAAGATTTGGTCCAGATGTTTATTGACAGCATGCCAGGGAGAATTGCAGAGGTCTTGAAAAAGAAGGGTCAACACTGCAAATATTGACTTGTTGCATGAACTCAGTGTAATTGTCAATAAAAGCTTTTGATACTTATGAAATGCTTGTAATTATATTTCAGTGTACCATAGAAACATCCGACAAAAACACCTAAAAACCCTGAAGCAGCAGACCCTCTGAAAATTTGTGTCATTCTCAAAATTTTGGCCACGACTGTATGTCATCACATAGTGCTTAACATAGTAAGGTATAGACATTACAATAAGTGGTGGCATTCCACACCATGGCAGCAGAGAGTGGCTGGAATAATGAGGCTCTCCAAGGAGCATTTTTGAGGGCCCTAAATTAATCTGTAAAAGATGAGTTGGCCTCCCAGGACCAACTGATCGCACTCTCAATCTGCGAGAGAGGCACCAGGCCCCAGTTCACCTCATCTCCCTGCTTTGCCAGCGGCCACCCTACGTGCAGTCCACCCATGTGCTCCAGCCCGCAGCTCCCACTGCAGAGACAAAACCCATGCAGCTTGGCCATGCCCTGCTGATCCCAGAAGAGCGACCTTACTGAGAGACACCAACGCCTATTTCTATTGCCGGAAAGATGGGGCCTTGCCACTTCGCTGAAAATCTTCACAAATCAGCTCATGTCCCCACTGGAAGCCCAAGCACGGTGCCAGCATTTTTACCAAGTTGGACCTCTGCAATGCCTACCACCTGGGACACATCCAGGAGAGGTACAGGTGTAAAACAGCTTTAAGCATGCCTTTGCATCGCTTCAAATACCTGGTGATGCCCTTCAGCCTGACCAACGCCCCAGCGGTTCTTCCAGTACTTGGTAAACAATGTACCCCGCGCCAGCAACATGTCCGCCAGGTTCTGAAATGTCTGTTGAAAAACAAGCCCAACATCAAGGCAAAGAAGTGTGAGTTCCACGTCTCCCCTGTTTTGATCTTGGGCTACGTGGTGTCACAAGGCTAGGTAAAGATGGATCCTGTCAAAGTCACTGCAGTGAGGGATTGGCCATGACCTTAGAACTGGAAACAGCTCTAACGGTTTCTCAGGTTTCCCTGTTTCTACAGCTGGATCGCTGCTCCCTTACCACACTCATCTTCAACTCTGTTGGCTACAAATGAACCCCAGAAACTGAAGTCACATTCCAAGAGTTTAAGGATCACTTCGTGTCAGCCCCCATTGTCACTCAGCTCTATCCCAGCTTGCATTATATTGTTGAGGTAGATGCGTCGGACACAGGAGTGGGGCCAAGGCTCTCCCAGCACTCCCCCCAGGACAAGTTATATCCCTGCATCTTCTTCTCAAGGAAACTGAACTATGACATAGGCAACTGTGAATTGTTCACTATCAAATTAGCCCTGGAGTAATAACGCCACTGGCTGGAGAGAGCCAAGCAGCCTTTTATCGTGTGGACCATTGATAAGAGCCTCTTCTACATCCAGACTGTGAAGCGACTCAATTCACAACAAGCAAGTTGGGCTCTGTTTTTTCGGTAGTTTTAATTTCTCCCTGTCCTATTGCCCTGGTTCCAGAAACATCAACCCTGACACTATTTCCCAGCAATTCACCTCCAAGGAGACACCAGCCAAATCTGAACCCATCCTGCCTTCCACCCAGTTTCTCGCGTCCCCCACCTGGAAGACTGATTAAGTCGAGGGAGCAGAGTCAGCAGCAAGACCCAGGTAATGGACCAGCTACCTGTTTGTTTGTCCGTGACTCTGTTCGGTCCCAGGCACTACTGTGGGCCCATTGCAGCTGCCTAACGTGCCACCCAGGTTTCACTTGGACACCAGTGGTTTTGGTGGTCATCCATGGACAGGGTCACCCATGAGTTTTTCACAACCTGCTCTGTCTTTGCCCAGAACAACCCCTCCAATCAGGCCAGCTCTCCCTCTTTCACCTGCTGCCCATCCCCAGGTACCGTGGTCCCACGACTCCGTGGCTTTTGTCACTGGACCGCTTCTCAAAGGTGGCACCCTTCATTGCTCTGGCCAAACTTCTCTCCATGAAGGAAACCGCTGACCCATTAGTTTTACAAGTGTTCTGTCTGCATGGCCTACCTGCTGACCTTGTGTCTGACGGGGCCCTCAATTCACCTCGCAGGTCTGGAAAGCATTCCGCTCTGCTCTGGGGACCGCAGTCAGCCTCTCTTCTTGCTCCAGGAGCTAGAAACACTTCACTGCATCACATCTGACAACCAGACACCCTGAGGCTCCCATCCCTCCTGGGTGGAGTAAGCTCAAAACACTATGCCAA